TATATATATATATTATTTTCAGTATATACTACATGTAAATGTAAGTAGTAAATGATTTGTTCAAACTTAAGACTATTATGAATATATCTCTTTAAATATTTAACACATTTATATATTCAAAATTTAAACTTAATATTCTAATAACTTATATATTCAAATCTAAACTTAATACTCTAATATGATATAGTATAGTTGAATAATATCTTGAAAAAAAAAAATCCTTGACTATGTGTTGGGGATATTTGGACTAGAAAAAGAAGCAATGTGAACAGCATTGGTTAATTATGTCCCGCCAGATGGACAAATCTTTATCCGGACAATAGATATTGGTGACCTTCTTAGTGCTATGTGCCCGTTTAATATCACTGTAGAGGAGAAGTGTTGGGTTTAATTTGGGTGTCATGTGTTGTGTACTACTTTGTCCTGTTTGCCGCTCCTGTCTCCTCCAGAACAGGAACCTTGCAAAGTCGTGGGAAAAAACGCACCTAATTTGCACCAAAGGATCTATAGCAGTTATAACATTCAACTTCAATTCACGATCATCCATCTTTCATGTATTCCCTTTCAACTTGTGAAACCACAATAAGTGTTAGTTGGCAGTCATCAAATCAAACCCAGATGCAGCTGATCCTGTAGTGATGCACAGGAAGTCAAAAAGTTTTCCTTTTTTATTAAAAAAATAATTAAGTGAAAAATAGAAGAAATTAAAGAAAGAAGTGCATAAAGTTATATTTCTTTCAACTAAAAAAAAGTTTGGTTGTTGGTGGTTGGAGAAAAGGAAATGAGGGATAGAGACAGAAAGTAAGAAATGAAGAAATTAAAGAACCCTAATCTTGGTTGAGCTGCACATATATATAGATAGATTACTAGGTGGAGGACAGCACTTTGCCAAAAATGGGAGGTTATGAGGTTTCAGATTTCAGACATTTGACTCATTCATCAGAATTCAGGAAAGAGAGAGCATGTCTTTGCAGTAGACGATGAGAACACACAATAAACTAATGCAATATTGAAACACACTGAGAGGCTGACAGAAGAGAGTGAGCACATGCTGGTGATGATTGTATGAGGGCATACAATTGCGGGTGCGTGCTCACTTCTCTATCTGTCAGCTTCTCCTTTTCTCTTTCGGTGTGTTTCCTCTCATAACTTACTTCATAATGTTTTTCTTTTGTCTGACTCATTCTTCACCACTTAGCTATCTATGAACTTCTCTTTTAAATCTTGTTCTTCGTTTTAAAATTTCACTTACTTAACTTTGCTTTATGGTACAAACTTGTCTCATTTTCACTCTCAGTCTCGTTTCTCCAAGTCAATGGATGAAATATAATTAAGAACTTGTATTACAATTTGTGTGTGTTAATCGTGCTTGTTTGACAAATAATGGAAACAATAAATATACAACAATATAGTAGGTTGATGTTGGTTCAATTTTCGAGTTCTGATTTTGGTGGTAAGCGAAGTGTGCACAAACTTATCTATTTATATATTATTATAATTCCCCCATTATCTTTTTGCTGTTTCGAGTGCCATAATCTGATCCATATCTACTCGTGTTTTATCCTATTTCTTTTCCGTTTATTAATTCTTATACTCAAAGCGTGACTTTTTATGGTACTTTCCTTGATGGTGATGAACACGAAATCCAAATGGAGGTCTTCGAGGTACGCGTTGCTACGGTCTTTGTTACTATTCATATTTTAACGGAAAACTCTTTTCGGAAGAAGTTCCACCACAAAACCCTTGTTTTTCTCCTTTTTGCCTTATCTTCTTCTCTCCTTGTCGAGTGTCGACCGTGGAGATGTTTCATCTCCCTCAATTTTGGTCCACAATTTGTGCTCGATGCACTAAGGTTCAGAGAAGCCAGCATCTCAAAGGGCAAATTGTGGGTTTTATTTTTATTTTTTAAGTGTTGAATTTGAAGGGTCAGAATGAGGTGCTGGATCTGTCTCCTTGAATGCCGTTTTGTTTGTAGCCTCAATTTGAGGTAAAGGAAAGCATTGGGAGCGTGCATTAGGAAGCTATATCTGGTAAGCTTTGTTCTTTCCCTTCGTGGTTAGGTATATACTCCTTTGTTTGCTACCGCGATTAAAGGGAATTCAAACAACAAGGTTACATATTTTTCGAATCGGAGTTAGTATTTCTTTTAGTACTTTATTTCCTTTAAATTTTAATTAGTTTAGAGAAACATTTCTTTTTCAGTGCTTCCATCAGCACAGAAGTTGGTCGATGTTACCATGAACTGCACACTGAAGAACATGAAGCCCAATAATCACCCAGGTAATTCACCATTTTGTATATGGTATGAGTTTTAGTTTAATTGATTTGGATATTATCCTCTTTATTGAATGAATAGAAGAAAGGAAGGAGAAACAAAAGTGATTGAGTGACATGAGCATGGTTTTGAGAAGCCCCCTCATGGGTGCTGCAATATATATCCTAGAAAGTGTAGCATCTAGTGCTACATATATCTAAGGCATACGCACAACGAATGTAGAAAAATCACCATTCTTTAGATATTTTTGCTGCAATTAAATGGTAGCTTTGAAAAATGTAAACATGAGGGAAACTAATAGCTTCTTTGGAAACTCATTGTGAAAGAGTGAATCACATTTAAGATATAGAGGTTATAACTATTAGCTTCTGAAAATTACATCTAAAACTTGAAAAATCATTTCTGAAACATAAAACCAAACACACTATAAGATGATATCTTCAAACCGTGCAGACTTGAAATTGAATTAATTATATTTTGGTTTCATTTTTTGCCTGAAATGCTTGATAAGTAGTTGCTTTGAACAGTCTTGCGTCATATGATTTCTAGTTTAAAATGAATATGATGATTTGTTAACTATTCGTGATCATGCATAAACTTGAAAAATCAGTAACCAAGAAATGCGGCAGTCTAGCTAGGCATAATAAAATTCATGCTTGCTATGAATTTAATGGGTGAATTATATGTTCCAAGTTTCTATTTCAGATTTTGTATATTTGTTGTGTTTTATTAGCCCACTAAGGACTAGGCAATGGCAACACGAGGGAATTCTGTTCTCTCATTGAACCAGCAATCAAAACTATTTTAATGGAAGTGTAAATGTTATTGCTTTATGATTATCTAAGGTGGGGGAAAAGATAATCCTACAAAAAAGGATTAAATTATGTATTAATTATCAAAGTTCATTTTGAAACTCTTGTAAATAATCTCTTTTGTTTAGATTAATTGCCTAGAGAAAAATGGAACACTATTGTTAGCAATTAGAAGATAAAAGATGGTGGTGTTGAGGTACCTCTATTGATGGTGAAATCATTGAGCTAGCAAGTTGTGAGGCCTGCATATATGCACTGCCTTAATTTGAGTGTGAAAGAAAAAAAAAATGCCATAGATTGTTATGGAGATTTGGGTAGTAAAAACGATGTCACTTAAAAGCTTATGCTAATGATAGTGACTAGTGAGCAGTGGCTTTAGTGATCTAGCATTGTCATACTGTGCAAACTGCTATTGTTTGTCTAACATTTTATTCTATATACCAATTTGTTTCCAATATATAATTAACGTTTAATATGTACATTTCTGAAGTATCTTTTTGATCCATTTTTGTCTCGGGATTAACTCTTCAGCCCCTTTTTCTATAGTAATTTTTTTGTGATACGCTTGTTCAGTGTCTGGAAATCAGTAAATTCCATATCATTTAGCTTGTTCAAATATTATTCTTTAGTCAATTATAATTATTTTTTAGAGCCTGGCTGATATATTTTAACACATTGAAATATTTGCAACTTTTTTTTTTATAAAAAAAATATCATTATTTCTGAGTATATAAAGCTTGAATTATTGTATGACAAAACAAAAGGTACATGTATAGAGAAAAATCATGCATTTATAGTAAAACTACAGGTCTTCAACCTTTTGTCTCTTGGATATAATTTCTTTTAAGAGAAGTTGATTTTTCTTTCTTTCACACACATGCGTGAGTACACACAAACACTATTTTGTATTGTCTAGAGAAAGTAAATATACATTTTATTTTGCTCTTACTATCATATAGGTCTAATTGATGAGTGGAATGGAATGGAGTGAAAAAAAGAAGCTACTACATTATTTGTATGTACTTTTATGATAAAATGAGAAAAAAGTACTTTCATCTTGTATGACCCAAATTGGAGGGAAAGAAAAAGATTGAGTATTGGATGGAATGGATGATATGCATTTAATTATGTTTTATTCCATTTCATCCTATTCGAACAATTGAATTTATAGTATCATTCGATTCCATTTTATTCCTTACCATCAATCCAAACAACATAGTTTTTTAATTGGAATTAAATTATTATTCTTTTGAAGGGACAAGTTTCTATAATGAATTCAAAATCTATTATGTCTAATCTTTCTTCATTGATATTATATTACTCTTTTCTTAATTTCTTTAGATATTCTTCATTTCCATATAAATTATGAAAAGGGGCCATTTATTTAAATCTTCTCCTATATGATGATGCAATAAATAAAGAAGAATTTCTGACTTTTATTAACTAGTTATTTAGAATAATGAAAAATCTCAAATGATAAATTACAATAAGAAAACTAACAATAATATAAATATGGAAGTTTTACATCAATAAATGTCGCTCTATTTTCCTTACATGGCTGAGGTCATGACCACCATTTTTGGTGGTAAGCATGCTGTTTGCAAAATTGCAGAGTTTTGCTTGTATGCATCACAATACCTCTCATAAAATGAGGAGACCATTTACATCATCATTATAAACATAAAGTGTTTCTACATATGCAAATTGAGGAGATTCTATTTTACAATTTTGACATTAGTTTATGATGTATTGAGTTGAGATTTAATTATTTCTAAATCACATCATATTTTAGTTGGATTATAGATTTGTATTTTGTATTTTAGTTGAATTTGGTTCCTTTCATCATATATATAAGACATATTAGCAAAAGTTTACTCTTGTAGTTGTGATATGTCTGCGTGCATTACAACATCCCATTGGACTTGACTTCTTACTCACTATATGTTCAAACTTTCACTATAGAAGATAAGAAACGCCAGGTTAGAATTAATATATAATAAAATGCTATCTGATTTCTATCTGTAGTACTAAATAAGGAAAAAGAGGAAAATAAGAACACTAAACAAGTAGATCTAAATAAATAATTATAGTGAGCACTTTATTTTGACCAGGATGTTTGAAAAAAAATTGAAGAAAAAAAAAACTAATGCATTTTTTTTGCTATTTTAATTAGGAGTGTTCAGAACCAAATTAAAACTAAAAAATTCTAATGTCATTTCCCTTAATTTTGGTTTTGGTTACCATGATGTTTGCAAAATAACAGTAGATCGATATGCCAGTAACTGTATGCAATGTAACATGACATTAGGAATTAGGATACATTATGATCTGGGGAGATCTCTTACTTCCAAGATAAAAGAGATATATTTACCAAAGAGTAGTTCTATGCTTTTATAAGAAATTAGTCATAATTTGGATAGATTCAAGTAGTTGTTTGATGAAACAAAGTGGTAGGGAGTACTTAATACTTTTCCACAGTCCATACAATGGTCATTAAACATGAACTGGCTTTTACAAATTAATTCTAGCCAAGTAGCATTTGCCATAACTATCAAAATTTGATATAGGTTTTTAGGGAGAAAACAAAGGTCCTCTTGCACAGAATTTGAATTTTGGATTGGAAATGCCTTACCTTCTAGCATTGCATTTTGGGTTTGTTTAGGTAAACTTCTTTAGAGACACTTTTAAGAGAGAAAAATAGAAAGAAAAAATGAAATAAGTTTTTTCATAAGTTAAAATTAGTTTATAAATAAACTAATTTGTAGAATTTTTCTTCTATTAACTTCTCTAAAATCTTATTTTTAACGCTTAAATTAGTTATAACTTATAGAAAATCTCATTTTGATTTTCAATCATATTTTTCTTTCTTAGAAATACTTCTGAAGAAGCTTGTCCAAACATATAAAAATTCGTGCTTCAATTGAGTTATAACTCAATCATGTTGGCTTGAGTCTGATTGGTCTAGCTCTGCTAGGATCTTTATATTTCACTTAAATCCTCAAAACCATTTTCGTAGTGAAAATTTAATCAAGTTTCATGGTTGTATACTTTTGGGTCAAATACTACTTTCTTAGGCTTAGTTGGATGAATATACATTCCATTTTAGGCCTGGTGAGTGGTGACTAGTGTTACTTATGAGCTAAATTTTATAGAAAAGGAAGGAATAATGTCAAATGGTCTAGCCATATCTAGAAGCTTAAGCTATTATGTTAAAACTTATAGGCATATAAAAAATATATTTCTAATTTACCCTGTCAAATCCTTATGGGCTTGGGACTTGAGCTTTAGTCAAGAATTCAGGATTATGCTGACCACTACCATATCTTGTTTTTGAAATTTAAATTGGCTGAGAGAAGGAATATTCTTTTGATCTATTCTATAGTCAAGAAATATTTTAATTGGATTTGACTAGGAATGAAGCAACAATATAAAATTTTATTTAGTTATATGCCACAAATTTTGAGTAATTATTATTCCATTGAGAAGTTATATTATTTTTGTGATCCTGAATCTAATAATAATATATATTTTTGTGTTGACATTAAATAACATAAGCAATTTTATCAGCTATATATGTTTTACAGATTCATTTTTGTTTTAATTTAATTGAAAAAAAAAAATCGAACTTGAACTTCTTTTTGATGAGTAAATGTCACTAACATTATATCTTAATATATACCTTATTTCAAGATTTAATTGCTTATTTCATTCATTTTTTTCGTTTATTGCATCATGTGTCTTCAAAATGAGTTTTGAAATCTTGTTGGAAGTTGAATACAAGCTTTGCAGTTTTGTTGTTTTGAATAGTACTGTTAATGTTTCGAAGTCTTGTTGTTTGCTGATATATTGTTGTCAAGTTAATTTCTGGAAACTGTAGTGTGCTGTTAGATAAGTAATAGAATTTAAATTTGTTGGAGTACATTTAATCTTGTAGCATGCACTTCTGTCAATGAAAAAGAACACAGTACTGTACACAATAAAAATGAATAAAATTAACATAGTGTTTTGCTGCAGAATCTTAATGAATGATTACATGTTGAGCATGATACCAAGTGGTGGAAAATGTGAACACAGAAGATGCATACTCAAATTCTTCTGTATTCCAACTGACATCATGGCAGTCAGTCCTTTATAAAGTTTGCAACTCTTGTACATAAAAAAAATGTGAGGACTGAGTTGCACAAATGTCGTAATAATAGTTTGCAGTTTTGGCTAGGATCCTTTGAGTCCTTACACAATGCTATTATGCCTTATAATATCACAGCTATCAAGTTGGGTGACCAGCAATATTTTCAAAGTCAATGTAGCAAGAGGCTGTGCTCAAGATGAAATGATTGTTGATACTTTGTAGCAACTCAAGTTTGTGAGGTGTTTGATGAGTAATGACTGCTTGCTTAATGAGTTATTAAAAGTAATGATCTTAACTTGCATATGATGCATTGGATAAAGGGGATCTCGGCTAGAGATGTTGATGAAAGATTGAAGAATGAACTTGTTATGCCTAGAAGACATGTCACTAAATGCTTTAGTGATTGTTTCTAAAAGAGTAAAACTCACTTTGATTCCTGAATTTGAAAGATATTATTGAATTAGTTCCTGAAACCTAGAATATTTCAAATAATTCTCTAAAATGTCAAATAGGTTTTAAATTTAACTATTTACTGTCCCTTTAATTTTTGAATATATATCAATATTACTATTTTAGTCACACATTTTTTTTGAATGCTGGACTAATTATAAGTGATTGTTAATTTGCACTTTCAGGAACTTATTTTGTAATTTTAGGGATTAATATGACAAGATCTTCCAAATTTAAGGACCAAAGGTGTTTTCCAATTCTAAAATTGTAGAAGAATATCCAGAAGCTGGTGTGGTTGGAGACATACACATAATTTTGATAACAGCGAGACAGGATGATGAAGTCATGGAACTGCTATCAGAGTTACATAGTTTTGTATACATGGGGTTGAAAGTGTTTGTGAAAGGAAAAAAAAAACAGGCTGGTCAAGCTAGTGATGTTATATTTGACATTGTGAGACTAAGGGGTAAAAATAAGTGTGGAAAACAATATTTCACATGATTGATCTTTATTGGGAGTGGAGGTGGTAGTAACTCAGTTGAAAAGGTGCAACTAGCTAGAGTTGAAAACTGAACCAAGCCTAGATACTGCTAGATGTTTTTATTCTTCAAAATGTTCCCTTAATAGTCTTTTTCTTCTAACATAACATAATATGAAGATTCTGTCATTAAGATCGATTAATCTGTTAATTAGTTTTATTTATTTTTGTTCGCAAGGTGATAATCATGCTGCAGTATATTTTTATTATAGTAACCTATTTTGTTATACATCCTGCTTATCTCAATTAATTTCCTATTATGAAAATTTCGGTTAGTTCTTTATGATACCATCCTGAACCATGCCTAATTTGTTTTCAAAATAGGTGCTATTTTCATGATTAGTAGAGATAAATAGGTGGTATTGTGTTTGAATAAACATCCAATTTGTTTTATGAAAAATGGTAGAGGTGACCAATAGGTCCGGAAAGATTTTGTGGCATTTGGGTTTCTAAATTTTATTTTCATTATGCTAGTTACTCCTCTTATTATACTCAGATACTAATTTTGTTAATTTTTAGAATAATCAGTAGTATCAGGTTAACACATTTTCTCTCTTAGTTAGATTGTTTTCTTTTCTAATTACTTAATATGGGTCATAATGCAAGGATTTTAGTACTTTTTAATTAGTAATAAACATTGTCAGTTTAAATATTCTGATTATGGGTACTTCAATTAAAATGGAAGAATCTTACTATATTTTCTATAGTTGAATTTTTTTGTCTTAGTTATCTTAAATTTATTTGTCTATTTTGGTTACAGGTTTAGAATTGTAAATATTAAATTAATAAATTTAGGGTTTAATAAAATAAGTGATCATTATGAAAGATCTTAAGTAAGGATGCGTTAATCGAGTATGAGTGTTTTGTTATATGTTTAATAAATCGCAAAACTCTTATGGTAGAAGTGAGGAAGAGTTTAATTGTAGTGATCTTCTATGTTATTGTGGAAACAAGGTTACATTAAGGGTTTTATGAATAATGAAAAATCCAGGAATATACATTTACTTTTCCTTTGTCAAGGGTGTGATAGTTATGTTATTGATGTTTTTATTTTTTTAGATTTTTTTTCTTCTTAATGGACTGACATTTGGATTGTCTTTAGTGGTGTAAGATCATTCAAACAACTTGAATTTCTTTATTCTGACAAATGGAAACAATGAACAACCAACTAGAAAGAATACGTGTTAATGTGACAATTAATTTTTAACTAGTTATGAGACTAATAAAGTTAGTAATTGAGTATAACAAAAAAATTAATTTATATAACAAAATTAAAATTTAGAAATTCTAGACGTCATAAAAATATTTCAAGGACGTATCAATTACCTCTACCATCCGTAAAAGATCAAATTGAGTGTTTACCCTATTTTGTTTTAATAACAACTAATTAATTAAGGAACCTTCTGATGACTCCCAACTCTACTAGTGTTATATCTACTTTGTGACCACATTATACTTCACTAGTTAGGAATGCCTATTTATTATTATTATTATTATTATTATTATTATTATTATTATTATTATTATTATTATCATTTCATTTATAACAAAATGAACAAAGGAACAATGTTTTGCTTGGATTTATCTTCGTATGTATAGGAACAAAGGAAAATGTGACTTATTTGTCTTACTTAACCAAATTGACAAATAATAGGTAATATTTCACCACTGTTAAACACTCATCAAATCTTGTCAAATCATGTCATGAGCTAATTTAGTGTGATAATTATCAACCAAGCACAAGGAAACGATGATTAATTTAACCAATAACATTATATACGTGATAAATATGTTGCTTGTTAAAATTTTATCAATCAATCATGTCTCTAATATGTTTTTGGGCAATAATAATAATTAATCATTATATCTTGCTTGTATTGTGTCTTACAAGATATAACCTTATATGTATTGCCAAAACTCACAACATATAACTAAATAGAAATTTTCTGTCAAGGATGTTTTTAATTATATATAAAAAGGAAGAAGAAGACAGGTGGAGAAAAGATCAAAGGGTTTTGTGAATATGTTAGGCCTTGAAATATTAGTAGGTGTCTTAGCCTATGGACTTTGCATTCATTTTTTTTTGTTGATAAAAGGGGGGCAAAGCCTAAAACTAGAATCCACGAGAAAAAGGTATAGACATAAAGTTTGCCATCAAAGGCATACAAATGAAGGGGTATCATAAACTCTACTATTGAAACTTAAATTAATACTATACTTAGTAAAAACATCAACCACTTGATTGGCTTCACGAAGGATATGCTTCCACTAAATATCGTTATGCAACTATTGCATTTGCCTAATTTGATGGACAATATTAGCAAGATCATGCCTACTAGGACAACCATGGTCTAAAAGATTAATTGCATATAAGATGAATTTGATTCAACAAGCAGGTTCTGAAAACCTCCTTCCATCCCAAGCTATAGACCAATCCAAATAGCTTGGATCTCTACACCAATAACTATAGAACAAGAGCACTTAGAAGGACAAGCATAGATAAATTGTCCCTTATGATCCTGAATAACTCCACTGCAAACAACTTCACCATTCACACCAAAGAAGGCTCCATCCATATTAATTTTAAACCAACCTAATAGGGGAGGCTCCCATTTAATAAGATTTCCTTGATTTGGTCTAACTCTAGTAAATTGGGCCTTAACATTAGAGGTTAGACAAATATTGTTAACCAAATTGGTAGCTTTGGCATATACCCCCTATTACTAAGGTGGTATCAGTTGAAAACAAGATTGTTCCTTCTTTGCCAAAAGGCTTCTAGCATGTAACCAAAGGAGAAACTTTGCATAAAACATTTTCGATTGGAGCACCTAATATTTTGAGTGAGCTAAGTTTAATAGTTCCAAGTAAAGAATCTAGAAGGGGGGTTTGTTGGAAAGTTTGTTACCAAATTGATTTAGCCCTTGAACAATCACGAAAAACATGTAGAATATCCTCTGGATGTGTTTGGCAGATTGGATAGAGATTAATTTGAGTGAACCCGTTAGAGAATTTCTCAACATTTTTCATGAGAGTACCATGAAAACATTTTCAAAAGAAGATTTTAATTCTTTCAGGGGCTACCCCTTTTCCAAATCATGGAGAAAAGATTGTTATCTATGGTTGGCAGAGGGGGGCATAAAGTATTATATGCATATTGGATAGAGAATTCTCCTAAAGCAGAATCCTTCAAGGTTAGGATATCAGGACCTTTGGAAGGATTAAGGGGTTGAAGTTGTAGTATACAATCTCGTTTAGGAAGATCAATAACCAAGGCTAATTTATGTCTATCCCACTATCCATTATGATCAATGAAGCTCATTAATAACTCCCCCCTATCATGCTCTGAGATTTGCAAAGAAGTATGATAACTCCGCCCTATCATGTTTTGAGATTTGCAAAGAAGTATGATCCACGAGAGGCCCATGGTTAGGCACCCAATTATCCTCCCAAAATTTAACCAAGGAGCTATATCTAATTCTCTAAATGGTGCGATCCTAAAAATCCTTCCATGAATTGCAAATAGCCTTGTATATGTTAGAAGTTGTCTATTTCTCTTAATTTGGACATACCTGTGTTTTCACATTTGTACTTGGCCTAAAAAACTTGAACCCAAAGTTTTGAAGCATCGATACAAACCTCCCAAGCATTCTTTATGACAAAAGTCACATTGGTTTTCCTAACAAGGCGAAGACCTAGACCCCCTAAATTCTTCGGACAACATATTTTATTTCAACCAATAGAATGGATGTGATGGTTATTCTATATATCACCCCAAATAAATGCTCTACATTTTTTATCTAGCTCATTACACAACAGCAGGGAACATCGAAATCTGCATAGAATAAGAAGGAAGAGCTTGAATGACAACTTTAGTGGGAGTTAAGTAACTAGTAAAAGACAAAGACTTGGTTTTCCATTGACTTAATCTTTGGTTGGTCTTGTCAAGGATCCCTTAATATGTTTGTCTAGTAACTTTCTAGTAAGGGATAGGAACCCCAAGATACTTCCCTAGATTATCAGTTCTATTGAAGCCCATTTTATTACTTATCTCATTTCTCTTATGCTAGGGAACATTTTTAGATAAAAAAAAATCCTATATTTCTCTTTACTCGCTTTTTCTCCTGAGCTCTAATAAGAAGTATCTAGGCAAGACATAATGAGATCAACTTGATCAACCTAGCCCTTGTAAACAAGATTAAATCATATGCAAACATCATACCCCAAACAATTAATTAATTTCAAAATTTTATGGCTGGGAACATGAGTTTCAAACAAACACAAGAAAAACTTGGTATTCTCTACATATGTCTCTCAAGAAGAGCGCAAAACCCCTTGTTTTCACTCCTCGAAAATTCCATGTCATGAGTTTCATATTAACAAGGGGTTATTGGATGAATGGACTAGACTCAGTCTCCATATTTTTCTTTCTGGAAGAAGAGGTCATCTCAGTAAGCAACTTTATCTTGTCATCCCCTTTATCTTTCATCTTGTTTTAACCAATAGTAAGCAAATCCAATTGGTGGTACCATATGCTATACTAATTTTTTACCAAATGTCGCATGTATTAAAAAAATTTGGGCTTCCATATTTTTAACGTCTAAGAAATCCTCTAATGCTTCAGAAGTAGGAAGAATAACCGCATTACTCATTTGGGGTCTTTTACGATTATCTCCAGAATTCTTAGCAACAGGTTTAGGATTCCCCTTATTGTGCCTTGCATTCATTAGGGTGTTTTTTCCTTTCCCTTGCAGTTGTTAGTTTTTCCCTACTTGTATGATTCAGAAACCCTAAAGACTTGGTTCATGTTTTCATAGCCCTCGAGATTATGGCTAGACCGGGAGATTGGGCCTTCTAGGACGGGGAAGAATTTGATAGGTCATTTTCAAGACCATAAACCATGACCCATGACCTACCTCGTCATCCTTATGTGACATGTTCTTTAACCTTTTGGAAGATATTCTCCTAACATTCTTCTTGATTGGACGTTTCATTATCATCCACATACCAAAAACCTAGGACTATTTATTGGGATCCACCCCCTAATTATTGGGATTGACAATCCCATGATTATTAGGTCCGGGATTATCCAGAAATGGGATAATAACATGGGATTCATCCAAGTTGAATAAGGATGACAAGTAAATTTATATTCATGTATAATACTTGAACTCACCTCGACTTT